CTAAATTTCCTGAATTTTTTTCTGAATTTAGCCTTCTGTTTAATGTTCTTTATGATATCAGAATGAAACCATTCAGGATAAACATGACTAAAATTTTTGAATTTGGGTATATGATCCTCAAAAATGTCATATAAAATTGAATATAGGTTATCGACTAATTTATTAACGTCCTTGGAGGTGCCTAAATTACTCCTATCAGTTTCTTCTTTCTGTCTATAAAAGATGGAAAGTTCGCTTTCCTGAAGTTATATGTAATGTTTGATTGGTTTAATTTGAAATTATTTTCTTTGATGTGTATATCAGCTATTTTGATACTTATTGCAGGATGGTGGTTATCTTCAGGTACAAAAGACAAATTTTCACGGGTAACATAACAAGAAAAAGGTGAAAAAACTAGATCTAACATTCTGTTCAGGTAATTAGTTATACAGTTTGACTGTTTATACTCAAGCATGTCAAAGTAGTTGAGGGTTATACGCGTTTTTGGATCATTAACATCCCTTTCGATGAACTTCGGAACATTGAAATCGTCAAAAAAAATTGGATTACCCTCATATAAATAATCTAACTGTTCCAAGGCATCAAAAAAAAAACACTCAAATTCAACTAATCCAATCGTATCAGGTATATACAAAGCTATTAAGGATAATGTTTTATGCTCCAAATGACATTTAACTATTAAGATATATTAATATCCGTTACTTCTGAATCTATGAAGTCCCTTACAGCAATTAATACACCTCCCCCTGTTACCTTATCCACCATTTCCAGTTTGCGATCTTTTCGATGTACACCGTAAGCGCTTGTATAGAGTTCACAATTTGAAACATCCTCATGTAGTCAGGTTTCAGTTAACACTATCAAATCAAATTCACAATCACTGATAGCTGCGTTGAATGAGTCAATCTTACTGTTGAGGCCCCTCACATTCTGATAATAACATAAGATACTGCGTTGGTTTGGTTCACTATAAGTGCTGGACGCATTTTGTTTAAAGCTTTAACTATTCTGGGGTTACCATTAACATTCTTAATTATATATTTCTGTAGACCCTCGGCATTTTTTGCATTAATTTCCTCCTTCAGCTTCCTGTAATGTTCAATTTGTCTATGGGTGTGTGGGCAAACGAAATAGATATTCCCTTATATGGACTGTTTTGCAGGTTTTTTGCTTTTCTTATCAGATCAAGGACCTGTAATTCATTCTGCAGCACTATTTTCACAGGACGTTTTTTTTTCTCATGAAATCCACCCAGTCTAATTGGTTTCAAATTCTGTTGTTGAAAGTTTGGATCAACTGTCTTCAGTACTTCACATACATCGGAAATATCTTTATCTAAACGAGTTTGAGGCTGATCTGATTGATTTTGTTCTGGTAAACCAAATAATATTAAATTCATCTTTCGAGAGTTACGATCATTCAATTCCTCCATAATATCTTCAAATTCTGTAATAGGCGAATGTTCAGTAGTGGTTCTTAAAGTACTATTTTCAGCTTTTAGAGCTCTAATATCCTCTTGTAATGATAATATAAGACTCCTCAAATCATTAATCTGACTACCAATATTCCTGCAGACCGAACAAGACCATGTATAACCTTTATCCTATTCGCACAGGATCTTAATTTCCTCTACTGCGATGGTTAACACATACATGCCGGAAAAATCGCATGCAAACTGAACATTTCACCATTAGGTTCGATTTATAAGATTTGTTACAACATGCGCAAATTATATTTGACGGCATTTTATTTGTACTACGACACTGGACGTTTCTTGCAAAAAAAGATTCGGTGATGATAAGCATATAAACCTTCATCTTGAATCACTCTATTAAAAAACTCACATCAAAATCCGTTGCGTAGTTTTAAAGATCTAAGCATAAATAGGAACTGAACTCTTACTGCAGAAATATATTCGCAATGAAATTTTCAAAACTCTTTGTCTCTATGTACATATAGAGCCCTCTGCATCCTATTCACAGATACTTATGGAACAAGATTCTTACTCAACACTACACACACTCACTTGATGTCTTTCTGAATCTGACAAAGGTTTTCAATACACACTTCCTAGGATGCAGTTATGCAAGAAAAATGTGTGGATAACTTTACTGAAAATGGAAAGCAGGTGTTAATATGTATTTTATTTTATATTGTATATGTATTCCATTTTGTATTGTATATGTATTTTATTTTGTCCATATATATCTTTGGTATGAAGTTATATGAATAACAGAAAAAGAGTAAAATGATATACAGATTTAGTTTCGAGTAAAACTGGGAAAATATCAAACATGTCAAAAAGTCATCGAACATTCCATTTTTTCCCAGATCTAGGTAGGTCTATAGTAATTTCTTTCGAAATAATTTTTGATAAAAGATTTTCAAAACTTATTTTATACCGATCCGTTGTTTTTTGTAATTAAAAATCGAAAATTCAACAAATGAGTAAATTACATAAAGAATTACAATATCCTAGGATGAAATGTTGGTTACACAAATACATAACATTGATTTACAAGACTTCATTTGAGTAGGTAAATTTGTTAGGAAATAATACCTAATAAAATTGTTACTATTATTGATTTTTGTAGTATGTCCCATAGAAAACGATATCACAAGGGGTTATTTATTTCCTATTATACAGTGCTAGTCAAAAGTCCCCTCCCCCCCTCGTATCTTTTGAACGGGTATACTTATAATAATGAAATTTGGAGTGTGGAAATAAACGGATGTAGGCTTCTTAACTGGTCATAACAGGTGACGCAATAGTCATAAATGACGTCACAAGGCCACTGTGACCAATCGTCATTTATGACTATTGCGTCACCTGTTATGACCAGTTAAGAAGCCTACATCCGTTTATTTCCACCCTCCAAATTTCATTATTATACGTATACCCGTTCCAAAGATACGAGGGGGGGAGGGGACTTTTGACTAGCACTGTATAATATGTAATGTTTCATTCAGAAAAGTTTGAAATCAATTGAAAACCGCCCTTTATCTGCACCTACATACCTACCTATGATACAAAATTTCCGGATTCTTATCAAACCTCGTTTTCTATTCATAAAATCAATAATCTTTGTATATTCATTGAAATTTATGGGTTCTCACACCCCTGGAATCAAAAATAAAGTTTTTCAAAATACATCAAATGTGAAAGACCAATTACTAAATTTTCCAAGAATTGTTACTGCCTTTGAATAAAATTCAGATTATTCAATCCAACTTGTCTGTAACAAGTGTTGGACAATGCAAAAGACAGGATGATAACAGTATCTTTTGTATAAATCAATGTCCATATAGAAGTAGTTTTTTTGAAACTATTTTTTCTTTCATGCAATTGAATGTTTATATGAAAGTAGTTGTTTTGAAAGGGCTTTTTCTTCCAGTTTGTGTCTAAAAGTGATTTCTTTACAAACTCTACACATTTTTATGAAACATTTATTTTGGAATCAACTGCTTTCTTTCTTTGGAAGATTTCCACTTTTTTTGTGTAAAGATGGAGAAGTGGAAAAACAAAAACTTATTTCCCCAAAAAATTGATGATGTCTGAGATTTACGATATCAGCTGTGAAGACCATGGTTCAAAAGTATGTTGGTCATACTAAGCATACTTTAATAACTTATTTTGAAGACAACATTGCAGACCAGAGAAGTCTAGTTCTCAATATGCCTTGATGAACGACTACACAGTCAATAAGAAATGATTGGATGTGTTGAGAATGGTATGTGACAATAGACTTGAAAACGGGCTTGAAAGTTTAGAAATATGAAAATGTGGAATAAGATCTACAATGACAAATTTCCCTCTGTTAATTCTTCTACATAATGTAGTAGTGATTAGACAACTAGTAGGTATGACAGGTAGTCATGAACATAAACATTGGGAATGAAGAGACAATAACAAAATACTAATAATTATCAGTACTGAGAGACCATTTAATGATCGTGATTACCATAGTGAACCATAGCACAACTCTGGTAGATATGTGAGAAGCGATTCATTAAAAAATTCATTTCACGCCATAATGTTCTAAATCTACACCTCTAAAGTTAATTTTGGTTTACATATATTGACTGGTTACATATATTGGCATGGCAAACATAGCAGGTTACATATATTGACATGGCAAACATAGCAAGTGAATAGTAAGGCAGAATAAATGACTTACAATTAGACAAACCACTTTAATAAAATGGCTAGGTAAAGCATTGTATATTTGGTTCTTCCTGTGCTTCTATAAAGCAAAAATTGAAATGTTTCCCCAGGTAAATTTATTTTGGTAAAATTTTTTCAACTCTAAGACCCATATTCTGTAATAATTTCAAGATATTTCCAAGATGTCCAGTCACGTAAAATATGACAAGCTGTATGTGTCCCTTTATCACATTGCCTGCAGCTAAGGTCTTCGATGTACAGCCCTCATTTTGTTCAGGTATCCTCCTAATAGACAGTGTCCAGTAAGTAACCGTATAATTGAACCCTGCTTTGTTGAAGAAGTTCTTTAGTTCTCTTCTTGGATGGTCTCTTCATGAAGGTTTTTCCATGTTTTGTTTCTTATAGACCCATTACCTTTACTCATCAGCATACCCGAGTGTATTGGTACCCAGTATACAATAATTAATATATTTCTTTCCGCCAGTTTTCTCAAGACATCTCCTTTTCTACCAATTTCATATGAATTAATATAGTATTAGTAGACTAACGTAGATCTTGTTGATGAATAAATAATGTAATAAATCCACACGGCTGCAGTGTAAAACCCAAAGTCAGTGGCCCACGGATAACAAATATTATCTAGCTAAGATGAAAAATCTTATTACTGAAATCCGCGCCTGCTTCTCTATTCAATATAAATATGATATACAAGAATATCAATCGTGTTAATTTATTTACTATAATATTAGGGAAACAAAAAGTAAAATGTCACCCCAAGATTGAAAGGTGTGAAAATTCATTATATTATGATGAGCCACATGAAATGAAACATATGTCATTGTAATTTTTTATTTGCGTTTCAGTCAGTAACGAGGCCATTTATCCAGAGTATCCTTATAATAAAAAATTGTTTTAATCCTCCTCTATTCGAATATGAATACAAAACAATTATACTAGTTTTGAAATGGAGATTATGCGAAAGTTATAACTTAACTAATATAGAAACCCTAAAATAAAAAATAAAACGAATTCTTATTAAAGTCAATATAAACTAAAAACTTTTACTACAAGGAAACATCCTCTGAAGATGATGGTTCTTCACTTTCTTCTGGTTTTTTAGTAAAGTCCTCACTCACATCCAGCTCCATGGGAGTTTCTTCAGGAATTTCATTGCTTTCAGGCACTTCAGTAATTGTTGATTTCTCCTCTACTTCTTCGACTTTCATTTCTCCTAAGTTTTCTACAGCTTCTTCGCATTTCCCGAAAACCTCGTCCTTACAATCTGTTGAACTGTCAGCGATATTTTCAACTTGTGTTTCATCTGCAGACATGGAAGAACTTGCAGGTTCCACGACAGGACTGGTAAGTACTTCCTTAACTTGAGCATCTGTTGTAATACATGTGTCTATGACCTCAGCTTGTTTAGCTTCATTTTCATCGTTTTCTACTTCTTTGCCTAGTTTTTCAACCTCCTCAGTTAGCTCATCTATCCGAGGTTTCTCTAAAGCAGAACTAACTTTGGCCTCGACAACTTCTGCCGATGAAGGCTCAATCCCAGAGGATGTACTCTCCTCACATTCTGGCACCGCTACGTCAGCCTCACTGGTTAGCTGCTCATCATCTTTTGGAACTTCTGTAGACTCAGTAGTTGACTCAGAAACAACTATTTCTTCTTGAATTACTTGAAGTTGAGTGGTTTCAACCAGTTTAGTTTCTCCAATCTAGAAAGAACATACCTTGTTTTATAAGCACCCATCAATTGCTAATTCACTTACCACAAATGAACTCTTTACATCTTCTTCAGATGCTGTAGGTGCATTTTCGATATTGTCCATTTTCTCAACACTGTTACGTCTTTGTTGAACATTTGGAGGTATGGCAGTTATAGTTACAGATACATCAGACGAAGCTTCATCTGAAACATCCTGATGTGAGGTCACACAAGATTCTATAGGAACAGCTTCTATTGAAACAAAAGGTGGGGCTGTTTCTTCACTACTGGTACATGTTATTACAGTTTCCTGGTGCTGGACTTCGGGCTCTTCCAAAGTGCTACTTGTTGGAACATCTGAAAAGATTTATTCACATAACATAATTTCTGAATAATTGAATAGAACTGACCGATACTTGATGAAAATTCATATTAAAAAACTAATCAATAGCTCATTGTATGGTTTTACAAAAACCGCTACACGCGTTTCGCTATGCAATAGCTTCCTCAAGCATAAACTGTTTATGCTTGATTAGTTTTTTTTCAACATAATTTCATTACTGAATGCATGTAAATAATAGATAATCAGATGAAATCTCGCCACTGAGATGGTTGATGAAGATTCTGAGTTCAAAACACGATGATCTCCCTTCACTCAGAAGGAAGATCACCGCATCCACGTCACTTTCATACATTTTTTGGGGCTGTCTTCTAATTGAAAAATCTGTTGAAACCTGTTTTTATACTAACCAGTTGTCTCCCCTTAAGAACGACAACTCTCAAAAGTCAAAACATGTGCGATTTCCAGCATGAGTGAGAATATAGGCAAGTCTGTGGATCTGAACCACTATTTCACCTAGCAGTAGAGTGAATGAGTGGAATAAACTACACACACCAACTCATTTTCTAATCATAATAAAACTGGTTTATTTTCTTAATGAACTGCGATCCTGAACCAATTTCTAAACAGTAAAAAAATTAATGAGTCTGCCTAATGCAGTGTTTCTCAAAGTGTGCGCCGCGGCTCCCTGGGGCGCAGTGGGCCACGGGTGAGTCTCAAAAAAAATGTTTCTTACAACATAGATAACTGGGAGTGAAGGCAATACGTCGATACCTATTAATAAAAATCCCCTGATAATATGATAATATCGGTAATTGCAAAATGCAATCTGTTCAGACAGCCACCTACCTACTTTTATTAATTAAATATCTAGTGTAGTCTTTACGTTCGGGGCGCCGCGATAACCTTCAAAAAACATAAGGGAGCTGTGAATTCGAAAAGTTTGGGAAACACTGGCCTAATGTGTGATTAAACATCAAATATCAGTTACCAGGTTTCGCTTCATTCTCAGGCTCGAAACTTGTTGGTTCTTCTGTAGCCTGTTCAGCTTCATTCGAAACAATTTCACTCTCGTTGTTTTCAAAGAGGACTGGGGCATCTGTAGTCGCTACTCTCGGCCAACTTGGAGATTCATCCATGTCCTCAATATTTATGTCATGACTAGAATTGCCGCTTTCTGGAATATGTTCCGCTTCTACACCATTCATTATACTCTCCCCGTTTTCAGTAGATCTTCGGCCTGGTTCAGTAGTACTCACTACAAGAATGTTTTTTTCTAACGCCCTCATGTATTTATCGATTCTATTGTATTCTTTCCTGGGAGTAGTCAAAAGTTCGCATATCCTTTGAACAGTAAACGGGGCTGAAGCAAACGTATCGAGTTTCTCAAGAATGAAGTTTTTCATCATATCGTAATTGAACAATTGTGCATTTGGGCATGGTGGAATACTGACGGCTGGACAAGATTTATGAAAGTCTCCTATAACGCTCAATAATTTCTCACGAAAAAGAATTTTAACTGTTGGCCACTGATAAACTGGGTTGCCTGTTTTTGCAACAAAGCACAAGTATTCCTCTAGTTCACGTGGAATGGCCTTGGGTTTGGTTTTTGAAAACTCCTCAAGGCTGTGCAGCACTTCTTCAGAGTTTTCCATAATGATTTACGAGTAAGATTTCTTTCTTTTTCCAAAGAATTCAACACAAAACGACGTAAACAATCACACACAAGTACACAACAACAACGAAAGTTATCTTATTATGACTTGACATTTGACATTTCCACCAACATAAAACACAAAACATGAGAATCGTAACCAGTGGTACAAACTGATAAATATAATAACAAACCAATGTCACAGTAGATGTGACAATGTATTCGAAATTTGATTGCTTTATTGTTATAGGTTTCGCCGACTGAATTGGAAAATTTAATTATGGAAATAGAAGGAATCATTGATGCAGCTGTTGTAGGAGTTCCTGACTCCCTAGCAGGTGAAGTTCCAAGAGCTTATGTAGTCCTAAAACCTGGCCAAAATATAAATGAAGAAGATGTTCAACGTTGGGTGAACGGGAAAGTGACTCATTATAAGAAATTAGTGGGAGGAGTTAAATTTATCGACTCCATTCCTAGAAACCCGAGCGGGAAGATTTTGAGACATGAATTGAAATTGCATTGAAGATTGAAATTCCATTTGATTTGTGTTTGTGTTTCTAGATTTCCATTACTATATGTATATGGTTTTACGTACTTATTTTGTATATATTGTGTATAGCAAACTTTTCCATATTTTATATGAAATATATTATTTTCAAAAAATATCATTTTTTATAATGTAGGTCAGATTGCAAGTTGAAAGCAAACTTGTAAACATATGTGAGAGTTCATAATTAAATTTTTGTTCGATATGAGTAGTATATATGTATCTCCGAAGCGAGTGCGTGATAATTTTCTATTTCACACATTCATCAGTTTCTCATTTCTATAATAGATAATAGTCGCACCAAAAGCACTACTGGCAGAAATTCACTATTATATAACTCAAAACACCGCAGAGTGGACATTTTGATGTCATATTTTGTTTGTCAAACTAGTACCTATCTGTCAAAAATATGAGGTTAACTTAGCAACAGTTCGTATAACCTACATGTAATGTACACTAGTCAGTGATTAAAGTCAATAAAGTTACTTCAGATGTTTTTTGGCGTTTAATCGTATTCGAGCCTGTATTCAAAAACGATTCGTAGTGACGTCAATAATTATAAGATTCGCCAGAATGGAATGATTCAATTTGTGTCAGATGTCAAATTTGATAATAAAAACAAACTTTTCAATTTTCTCAAATCTCAATTAGAATCGGATTTGTGCATACAATAATTTACCTACTTTATTTTGTACATCCTTGCAACGTATTTTATAAAAAGTGTTCAGTACTTCATGAACTATAACGATCAAAATAAAACAGAAACAGACAACTGACGTAACGTAACGTCAACTTTCGTTTCAAAACCAACCTCAGGCTACTCCTAGTGTCGTGATGATATGATTCTCGTATCGTGGTGGTGAATAATCTTATTTAACGTAAAATTCGACTTATTTATAAACACACATATTTCAAATATATAGTCTGATGCTAGAGTTGAAATATTATATTTTTTAAAATACAGCCTACACAAATCTCTTTGGAAATATGTCCATGCATTGTACAATGTGCTTTTGTGCTATAGTTGACCCTCCCCGGAATCAAATACCGTACCTAATTCTAAGAGTCTACATGAGCATAATAGGATATTAAATCTTTGAGCTCTATCCAACTCCGATTTTAAATTAATGAAAAGAAACTGCAAGGAATTGAGTTCAGATACCAGATGTTGGAAATAACTATTCCAATTCCGAAATTAATCCAGATGAATACCTTGAAACTCTACACTATTACTATCACTTTTTGAAGATATGTTATTTACATTGAACTGGAGGTTTTCAATTTTTTCCGATGATTGTGATTTATTAATGAAAACATTGCTGTATTAATAGACTTTTGTTGACAAAATCCATGTTCTATAAGAAAATAAATATTTAAAAATAAAATTACGCTACATCAATTTCTCCCAACATACCTACAATGTGGGTTCAGGTTAATTCCTGCAAGAAAACAACTACTTCTCCGGCTAATACCACACGCTGCATATTTTTATCCTCGTTTATCCAACAGCAGGACTAAAATGAAAATCATCAGGCATTAACCAGAACCTACTGTGTACGTAGTTGGGAAATATTCATTTTCTTATACGTATGTATCTCTCCTTGATACAGTCTTTAGACAAAATCCATGTTGCTTTTGGGTTAAATGGAAGGCTGGTTCAAAAATAAATGAAGTCTATTCAGAAAGGCATATTTAAATAATTTAGAACATGCGGAACTATAATAGGATAATAATTCTCCATCGAAATTATGTCCCGTTTTCAAATATATGAATTACTTTTCCTGTTTTCAATTGTCGAAGAAAAATTCCTCATGAGAACGACATATTGATAAAATGTGTTAATGGTTGTATCAATAAGGGGAGAACTCACTTTAGTACCTATAGTACTTTTTTTTGATTTTATTATTCATTAAATGAAGTGATTAACTTTCTGTGAAAGGATTCAGAATAAATGTAAGCAGAAGATTGAAATCACTTTCAAAAAAAAGTTTATGTTGTTTCGCTTGTTAAGTTATCTTCGGAAAATCAATAGAAATTGACCACAGATGACAGATGTCATCTCCAGTGAAAGAAACCCTTCTATCCGCTTTCGGCAATCGATCCTAATCGAACAATCAACACCTACTCATACGAAATCATACATGTGCCACAAATGTAATTACCCATTTACCCGGTCTGGTGGTCTGTACATAATTATTCGGATAAAGAGATTTGGAAACCTCATAAGTACCACATGTGGGCTCGAACGATTTCACGTTTCCACGTGACTTCGTCAACGTGAAATGCTAAAGTTTGTAAATGAACTTGTTATTTACGTTTTGCGTTCTTTTGACTGAAGATATTTCAAACTCAACTTTGACTTGTCAGAGGATATAAATAACTGAAATTGAACATACTAACAGAAGTTAGGTTAGGATGGAGATCCATAGTAATTTCATAAACTACACCTCACGATTTGATCTCCACAAAGTTTGTGGAAGAAAAGACAATTGAAACTTTCTTTGTTTAATGTATAAGTTTGGAAATGTCCTTATAGGACGAAACTGCAGTAACGTTAGTTCCAAAACAAAAAGAGGCTGAAAAAATAGAAAGTTTCAAATCTTTTTTCTTCATTTCAGACATAAACTGGAAGAAAAGCCTTCCCGAAACAACTACTTTCATATATACATTGAATTACACGAATGAAAAAAACTTTCGAAGCAAATACTTTTATATGAACACTGAATTATACAAAAAACACTTTTGTCCATTCAGTTTGTTCCAAACATCACTTATGGAATTGAATCAGGTATCATTCAAAGGGTTTGCGGGTCGGTAGCCGGGCGGTTCAACGTGGGTGCTTTGTTCACTCAGTCAACCGGCCGATGTGTGAGTCGATGGTTCAAGCCGCAGCTTGAACGCTCAATTTTCACTTGCTATCGTCCAACAAGTACCTATTAGGAATCACACGTTGAAAGGTAAGACCTCGTAAGTCCTCAGCTCGCACAAGTTTCGACTTCGTTGGTAGGGGTGCGATAGCTGGTTAACGGAAAAAACATATTTTGAACATATTTTTTTTAAACAATATAATCTCTCCTAAAAATATATCCCTTTCAATTTAACATTGATATATATGTTTTTAAATCTATTTTGCAAAAGAAACAGAAATGATAAATAAATACTGTTGACGTAACCACTATCGAGACCATCCCGACCCTCATTTCAACAAAAAAGCGAAGCAAAGACCCCTTCTCCGTATTGGTGCTCATCTTGAATAAAAAATCAAGAATTGAAATTTTCACTCATCCAGGTACTTTTCATTGAATTTTTCGAAGCCATTTTTTACTTCATCCAACTTAAAAATCATAATAAGAAATGGTATCTTTCCAACCTCAACATTAAAGTATGTCTCTCTTGGGTTATTTACGTTTTGCGTTCTTTTGACTGAAGATATTTCAAACTCAACTTTGACTTGTCATAGGATATAAATAACTGAAATTGAACATACTCTCTTATATTACAAAAAAATGTCAACAATACTATGCGGGTAATTTTTCCGTCTCAGTGAAAAAGTGAAAGTTTCAAAGCATTTCACTATGGAGCAGTTAGTGTCGTAAATATAAAAATACACAGACAAATTATTTCCATAGTATATTTGAGAAAAATTGTAGTACAAGAGGTAAATTTTAATGTTAAAGTTTGAAAAATACCATTTCTCATTGAGATTTTCGGGATAAATAGAAAATTTTTGAAAAGTAGGTATGTTGGTGAAAATTTCAATTCCTAAATTTTATTTTAAAAACTAGATTGAAATTATTAGGTCCAGTGGCGTCTCAGTGGGCACTACAGCCAACAATATTGAGAAAAAAAGAACGCCACTGACTTTTTTATAGTTTTTGATTTTTTTACGTTGAGCAAATGAAAATAAAACTTTTTCGTCGGTTGTGTTTTCTTCACATTAAGCTTCGTTTTCGAAAAAAAAATCATCTTCTGATAAAATAAACGACTGCAATCGATTCGTCATTGATTGTCTGACACGTTCAAAAATACCTGGAGTATTCCTTATGACATTGAAATTGTCAATTCGATTCCTCAAGTCATTCACATCTAAAACAGGAGCCTTCAGATGACACCATAATTATGAACACTAAAATGAGCTGGAGCCCCGTCGTGCATAAACCACATGTTGCCTTTTAAAAGTACCGGCACTTCTTCTAACAAAATAGGTTAATGATCTCGCAAAAAGTCCATGTAGGATTCACCTGTTAATCTTGTTGAAAAAAATGGGCCAATTAGGTAGTCACCAATCATTCCTGGCCAAACGTTCAGCGAAAATTGTTGCTGAAAATGACTTTTTCTAATATCGTGGGGATTTTCGTCGGCCCAAAAATGGTCATTGTGAAAGTTCATAATAGCATCTCGTGAAAAATTTGCTTCGTCCGGAAATGAAATATTTGGTAAAAAATTATAGTGAAAAATTTGCTTCGTCCGGAAATGAAATATTTGGTAAAAAATTATAGTGTGACATCGTATGAGTTAACCACCTACAAAACATCAATCTTGAGTGAAAATCCCGAGGCAGTAGAGCTTGGATATGGGTGGCTTGGATATGGATATTGTATGTGATATGGGAATAGGTTTCTTTTCAGAAGTGTTCATACGGTTTTTGGACTGACTTCCAGCTGCAGTGCAGTCTTCCAGGTACTATTTAAAGAATCTTCTTCTATCGCATCAAGTAAAGCTTTTTTTAGTTGTTACAGTTTTTGGTCCTCCACCACCTGCATTTTTATTAAAACTCCCAGTTTCACATAATCTTGCATGTAGGGTTCTGAATGTTTTAGCACTCGGTTCAGATGTCTGTCCTGGTAAATTCTCCGTGCTTCTTCCACATTTCCATTTCACTAATCCATAAATAAAGTGCATGTCAGCCATTTCAGCGTTAGTAAAATTATTCATGATGGAATCACTGCTAATTGCTATCACAGTCAGCTGGTCTCCAAGGCAGGTGTTCATGATGTGCATATAGTGGCTTCAATTTTTTCTCGAAAACGAAGCTAGACATGAAGAAATCAAAAACGACAAAAAAGTTGTATTTTTAGTTGATTAATCTAAAAAAACTACAACAAAAAATCAGTGATCAGTTGAATAATCTAAAAAAACTACAACAAATCAGTGCTGTACTTTTTTTCCAAATACAACTTTTTCAACTGAAATTATTTCAGCTTCCGGTCTTTTTCCGTTATACCGGAAGTTGAGCGCAAATTCCTTATTTCAAATGGAACACCCTGTATTTTATTACATTTTTGAATTTCTCAGCACATTTTAGGCCCAATTTGTATAACAATAGCTATACCCAAATTTGTTAGTTTTCGAGATATTAATCTTTTTCTGAAAAATTTGACAGTTACAGCACCAATCCGAAAAAATCATAACTCATAGACAGTAACAGTTGAAAATGTGAAATTTCATAGAATCACACCTTAAGCATCACGTCATGATCAGGTCCATCGAATTTTCGAAAATAATTTACAGGGTTGTCGAAATTTCCACCTAAAACATGACATCGAGAAAACTGACGAAACAAGGTTTTTTCAAATGAAAACCATACACTATTCTATTATTTTTGTATACTACGAAAAGAAAGATTAAATTCATGAAGAATGTCCTATACCTAAAATACACCCCTGGCAAGATATATCCGATTTTGGGAGAAATTTGAAATGTAAATCATTCCAAGCAATACCAAACCAAGAAAGCTTTGAAAAAAAATGACTTAATATTAACTTTGTCGTTGGTAAAAGGTAACTCAAGAGATGAATTATATCTTTGTTTATTGATATCGAATACAGTAACTTCATTTTGTTTATATTTTTAAGGTTACATTTTACTTCAATTTTAGAATTTAACTCAATTTCTTCAAATTCAATTAATATTGTGGTTCATTTCAACAAATGTCCAAAGACATTGCCGTTTTGTTCTAAACAAGAATATGTTCTTTTTTGCATATCACTATTTGTAGCTTTCTGTATGGAGTCAGGAATCAAATTATTGAAAGCTCTCAGAACCCGGTTTATTGACGAACATGAAATTCTAAGTGACTTTTCTGCGTCTTTCAACGAATTTTCTGGATAGGCTTTGAAGTAAGCCAAAACTGCAATTTCGATGTCCTCATTGTTTACAAGTGTTTTTTTGTTGATGACAGACAAAAAAGATCCGAAATCACGGCAGTTTCTTAGAAGTCTTCTCAAAATATTTTTATTGGGTCTGTGTGGATTTGGAAATATTTCTGCAAAAACACGACAAGTTCTGTTCATTATCTTATTGCATTCACCATAAATGATTATTAAATTCAGGAAATCTTCATTAGAATACCCCAAACGAGACGTTTTGCACACAAATAGAAAACTACGAAATACACGTCAATTATATCGCATCAAATTTTGACATATTTGTTGTAACTTTATTTGTTTTTCAACCTTTCTTGGTTTGGTATTGCTTCGAATGATTTATATTCCAAATATTTCCCAAAATCGGATATATCTTGCCAGGGGTGTATTTAAGTATATGACATTCTTCATGAATTTGATATCTTTTTTTTACATAGTATCCAAAAATAAATGAAAAGTGTATGGTTTCCATTTGAAAAAATCGTGTTTCATCAGTTTTCTCGATGTTATATTTTAGGTGGAAATTTCGACCATACTGTAAATTATTTTCGAAAATTCGATGGACCTGTTCATGCCTTGATGCTTAAGGTGTGATTTTGTGAAATTTCACATTTTCATCTATTACTGTCTATGAGTTATGATTTTTTCGGAGTAGTGCTGTAATTATCAAATTTTTCAGAAAAAAATTAATATCTCGAAAACTAACAAATTTGGGTATAGGCATTGTAATACAAAGTGGGCCTAAAATGTGCTGAGAAATTCAAAAATGTAATGAAATACAGGGTGTTCTATTTAAAATAAGGAAGTTGCCTTCAACTTCCGGTATAACGAAAAGATACCGGAAGTTGAAAATATTCCAGTTGAGAAGGCCATTTTGTGAAACTCACTACCACAAAATTTCAAGTTTTTATTTTGAATCGTTCTCCATATATTCCCAACGAACGCTCGCCGTGAAATACCCTGTATTGTTGGCTGCGGTGCCCACTGAGACTCCACTGGACCTAATAATTTCAATTTGGTTAGGGATACATAAGCGCCTTATTACTTCAAATTACTGTATCAAATTTCAATCAAATCCTTATAAATACTGTTTTTTCAAAACTTCAACGCCCTGTATCTCAGAAACCTAGCAATTCCGGTTGTATGTTCATAAGAACTTTTTTTTAAAACGACCCAAGGAATCACCCTCTAAAGTTTCGTACGGTAGTTAGGAAACACCCTGTATTGTTGTAAAGATTTTATCTCCTTATCAAAATATCTTTCTATTTCTATTTGAAAGTATTGACTTAAGTTCACTTCCGGTTAAATCGAAAGAGGCTTTCCATTGTCTTCATTAAAAATATAGTATCTATAGTCCGTTCATAATTTGTCGATAGCATAAAATGAGGGCCCAAGTCATAAAACGGTCGTAAAACTCGTAAAATCATAGGCGGAGGTTCCTGGGGTGTTTATTCATTAAATATAAAGCTTCAGTTTATATTCGAAACTTGCCTTGAAAGGGTGAAGTTGTTACGAACGAAAATAATTTTTGGTTTAGTACATTTTTTAATCGCATTTAATTTACGGCTCGTTGGTGTTTCGGCGTCTACGGCAGTAATTAACGTCTCTAATATTTATTTTGCGAATTTTGTGCAGTGCGTGAGNTATATTTATTTATTTAAAGTAACTAATGTTTTAATCATATACTCTACGACACTGGTCACTCATTTCCACTCAAAATACCTACATAATCGGATTAAAAGTTTTATAGCTGTATTGTATTTCTTCAGATACAAGGTGGGTTAGTCGAAAACATCTTAAACTGCCAGTTTTAGTTTGGTTTTTGTTATTATATCATATTAGCTGTCCTCTCTGTATTTCAGTTCTCTAATGAGGGTCAAACTTGCAGTGAGCTATCAACAAATTATGAACGGACTACAAGTGATTATACCTTCCTACCGAAATTCAAATTTTTCAACCTCAGAAACAACTGAATGGCTCCGTGTACAATTATATCTCTGTCACCCAGTATATCTCCGTCTATGAACCCTTCAGTGTAGAAAACTTTAGACATCGGGGTCCAATTTATGTATGCCATTTTTGTTAACAAATTCCGCGAAACTCAACGTAATTCTCAGAAAGTGGCAACCTCGATTGCATAGTGGAAACTCAGTGAAACCTCCTCCTGCGCTCCACGAAGCGCCGATGTCTTTGGGTAGCCTAGAAACTTGGCTCGGGTTCGGGCAGAATTAGTTCTATGCGAGACGGTTGATCGGTGATACCGTGCGCGTTCTTCTGACCAGCGTTAGTTCATAGGAGTAGTGAACTTTTTACGAAAAGGCCCTTCTCAGTGTGAAAAACTTGGTCTGTGCAAGTGAAAAAAAGGCCGCAGGAAAATCAATGAGCAGCAGCAGTTCATGCCAGTGTGAATATTTTGTTTTTTGTCATTGTTGATATGTTGAAAGTAGGAAGTGTACCTCGATATACTTACTGGTTTGTAGTTTCCGGAGTTTCATTTGAGCATGAGATATTGACCTCGCGATAAGTATTACCTGTTGAAACAGTTGCTGTCAAGGTACTACAAATCGAAACGGTGATTTAAGATGTACGTTTCTGCATGGGTAAATCGAATCAGCTGTGCTCATGTATTGTTATTGCTTCACTGTGTTCACATCGCTGAATTGGTTAGAAAAATGTCACACCTTCAACAATTTCCTGAAAATTGGAAATATTCATAACAAACAAAAGTGAAACGAAATGAAAAACTGCTGTGCAAACAATCAAAATTGTTTGGAACAGTTTATATCAGTTACATGATTTAAAGTCAATTGATTTTTTTATAAAATGATATTATTACTAGTAATTCAAACTAAGTGAAAGTTACAAAAAATATGTTTATTCATAGAATAAAACCTTGAGTATTTTGTTATTGTCGTTCAATCAACCGCTATGTGAATATTGGTTCGATCCCAACTGTGGGAGTTTCGACTTCTGAGGGTTGTCGTTCGAACGCTGATGACAGCTGGTTAATGGAGAAACACGTTTTGAAACACTCATTCAAAATTTGCGTTTCAAATATTTGTGAAAATTTATTGAACATTTCTCTATGGGAAAAACTGTTTTGTTTTCTACTTCTCCATATTTACATTAAAATTGTGGGAAACTTCTGAAGAAAGGGAGAAAGTAATTGAGTTGAAAAGAAAAGTCATCTCTAGACGTTACTCCTGATAATTTTACAGAACCACTTCGAATTTTTTATATTTATTTCAGGCCATTATTAGGTATATGTTCTTGATGTATATATTGTGGGTTCTGTTAGCTCTGCTAAGATCAAGCTTAAGAGCAATAAATTCTGAAATATAGTACAAAATTAGCCTCAGATTATGGCCTGAAGATGAATACAAAAGTTCAAAATGATTCTGCTAGCCCAACAGGGGTGTAGACGTTACTTTCAGATACACTGGAAGAAAAAGTACCCTCGAAACAACTACTTTCATAAAAACATTGAATTACACGAAAGAAAAAGTACTTTCAAAACAACTACTTTCATATGACCGTGAATAATACTAAAATAACGTTTCTCTATCCAGTTTGTACTCCAAACATTCTTTATGGAATTGAATCAGATATCATTCATAGGAACGATACACAGTATATGAACGAGTTATGATATAAAATTTAACTTATATTAAACACTATCATCCTCTTTGGCGGACTTCGAAGTTTCGAAATTAGACACTTGTTTTATTACCTCATCAGCACCTGTTTGAATGATATTACAATATGAACCACTGATTTCATTCATAACATAACGACTTTATGTAACGGATGAGACAAATCTACTCATGCCACCGTGACAGCACGTTAAATCATTCCTATGCCTTTTTGATTTAATTTCAGTCATAGAAATCTGGTTTGAAGTAAAGAGTAAAATATATTGACACATTTATTTTCAGCCATTCAGATAATCAGTTTTCATTAAGGTTATAATTTCATAAATTGAAAGGGGTATGTCGGGACTGGTGATAGGTGAATTATTAATCAGACGGACACAGCGTTTACAAGTAATGAAATTTATTATTAATAACACCAACAAAACGACAAACAAAAAATAACCGTGCAAGCTCGTGGCGGGGAGAATCAGAATTAGGATTAGTTCCCGGCCAAAATCCCTGAATAGATTGAATACATCGGCTAAAACTGTGTTCCCAGTAACTCTTGAAAAATCACCACTGGTCGGGGTCACAAATATAGTGAAAAGGGTCAACCACTTGGACCAGAATTCTTTGTCTAAATCGATGAGAGTGTTAACGATCAGTACCTACTCGAAACATCCCAAATGGTTTCGTTCTAAATATTCATCTATTTTTCGGCAATAAACTCTCGTTTCGAGAGAAGAGAGCATTTCAATGATATGCGATGAGAAAATATGAAAATGATAAGTGAAAATGAAAATAAAAGAATCAACATGATAACCCAAACAGATAGATATTTTGAACGCCTGCGCCATAAAAGAGTTATGAAAACTTAATTTTGTAATAAAAATTCATGATACAAAATAAAAATCAATAACGAAGTAAAATGTTTCTAAACTAAATAGTTGTAGAAAAATCCCTATACAAGTCAGTTAATTAAACTAAATACTTAGTTATAGGAAAAACCCGACAGGTATATTTTTTTAAAGAAGCTTTCTACTTTTCCATCCTTATATAAACATTTGGCTAACTTCCGAAATAACTCAACCACAGAAAAAACATTCTGTTGAATCAGACTGATTTTAGGCTCCCATTCTCTTTTATGGCCGATTTTTTATATGTTGTTTTTTTAATTAATGGGTTCTACTAGATCACCATCAAGTCGGCAGAATGAAAAAGAAATCCTTCACAGTTTTTTTTAAATTGTACTTAATAATTTTCGACCCATTTTAGCCTATAATTCATTACCCTATTGAATAATTTTTGCTCCTTGTTTTAATTGACACATACGATAAAAATAAACACACATGATAAAAACGAACATCGTTTTCAACAATAATTATTCAAGTTTGGGAGAGATTTTGGTAGAGATAGAAATATATCGTTGATTTTCTAAATGTCGTGGTAGAACCCGCTAATTGAAAAACACCATACGGAAAATTGACGATGTGGGGGAATAAAAACTCTCAATATCTTTCCCACAATTGAAAGATATTTGCAAAAAAATATTTTCGCTTCTATCATGTGTAATTGACGTAGTAATCCAAATATTAAATTCAAATAAGGAGCAAAGAAGTGTTCAACAACGTAATGAAGGAGCCTAAAATGAGCTTAAAATACGGGTGTGAAGTTATCCACATCCACAAAGTACACTGAGAAAAAAAATATCGCATTATTATTTTTTCATTTACCGACTCTGCACACCTACCATTTTCCAATATGATACGCTTATTGACTGAATTAGTAAAAAAACAGAGCCGTCCTAGTTTATTAAACTGTCTGAATGGGGTGAAAATAGGGTGGAAATATTTAAAAAGATCGTAACATGAAAAATCGACTTTGTACACCTACAAAATTGAGATATGTTATTCCTGATGATTTATTCGACATAAAAAACTTCACGTCATAGTTTTCCAGGCCGTCTGAGGGAATGAAAATGGGGTGGAAATTTGAAAAAATCATGTTACCGAAAATTGAGTTTGTACACCTACAAGATTAAGAGATGTTATTACTGACACCCGATTTGACGAGAAGAACTTCACGTTATAGTTTTCTAGGCAGTCTGGGGGGTGAAAATGGGGTGGAAACTTGAAAAAATCACATATTTGAAAATTCAGTTTGTACACCTACAAAATTGAGATATGTTATTCCTGATGATCTAACGTGAAGTTTTTTCAGCTGAATAGATCATCAGAAATAGCATATCTCAATTTTGTAGGTGTACAAAGTCTATTTTTCATTTTTAGACATTTTTTGATATTTTCACCCCATGTTCACCCCCTCAGACGGCCTGAAAAACTATGACGTGAAGTTTTTTCGGTCGAATAGATCATGCTAGATAACATATCTCAAACTTGTAGGTGCACACATTCAATTTTCGAAGATACGATTTTTTCTATTTTCCAACCCATTTTCACCTCCTCAGACGGCCTGGAAAACTATGACGTGAAGTTTTTTCTGTCGAGTAGATCATCAGGAATAACATATCTCAAGTCGATTTTTCATGTTACGTTTTTTAAAAAATATTTTCACCCTATTTTCACCCCTTCAGACAGTTTAATAAACTAGGACGGTTCTGTTTTTGTACTAATTCAGTCAATTAGCGTATCATGTTGAAAATTGGTAGGTGTGCAGAGTCGGCAAATGAAAAAATAATAATGCGATATTTTTTTCTCAGTGTACTTTGTGGATGTGGATAACTTTACACCCGTGCTTAAAATGATTTCCTAGTAAATTTCCAAAAAGTGAATAATTTCCATTTGGTTCTACCAGCTTAATGATAAAGCTAGCAGAACCCAATTTTTTCAAAAATCATCACATGAAAAATCGGTGATAGGGGGAACCGTAGCCACAAATGAGCCTAAAATCATGGAGAACGTTTTTTCAAATTAATTTAATCTCCAGCGATTCAAATCCAACTTGAATCGTTACTTTCGCACAGGCACCGCTCCTAGACCACCTTAAGGATTTTCCTGTAGTGCTTGTGTTCTGTTCTTGAAAAAAGTAGTATGATTCAACAAAATGTGTTTTCCTGTGGGCTTGAAAATCACTATAAGACAGGGAAGCTTTTCCACATTTCATGAACGCACTTTATAATATAATACTGGAACTATTTAAGTATTCAGTTTGTCTGTTGAAGGTGCGATTATTTCAAATAATATACTGTCATACTAATCATTACTTCGGCAGGTGGTTTATAACCTACAAAATATAGTTGTGCGGTAAATTTGGCATCACGACTTCGTGGTGGATAAAAAAATACATGTTGTCTCGCTAACTTGATATCAAGTTAGCGATACGACTTTTTCATTATAAAGTTTTCCAGAACTTTGACTAGACAATTGGTTTAGTATATTTATTCGCTAATTAGTTGCTGAGAAAAATATTTTTTCGCCCCTTTTTTTTGAAATAGTTACATGTTGTCTCGCTAACTTGATATCAAGTCAGCGATACCACTTTTTAATTATAGTTTTCCAGAACTTTGACTAGACCATTGGCTTGTTATATTTAGTCGCTAATTAGTTGCGGAGAAAATTTTTTTTTCGAATACATGGTGTCTCGCTAAATTGACCTCAAGTAGGCGATACAACTTTTTTATTATTACGTTTTCCAGAACTTTGACTATAACATTGGTTTAATATATTTATTCGCTAATTAGTTGCGGAGGAAAATATTTGATTTACCTTTTGTTTTAAAAACATTCGTAGTCTCGCTAACTTGACATCAACTT